AATTACCAGTAACATTTTTCACAGGCCTAGAAAAGACAATGCTTAAATTCATATGCAAAAAGCAGCCCAAATAGCTAAAGCAATTATCAGTAAAAAGAACAAAAACTGGTGACATCATACTCCCAGACTTCAACCTTTGCTACAGCCAATAAAACCAAAACAGCATGATACTGGTACAAAAAATAGACACACAGACCAATGGAATAGAACAGAGAAACTGAAATTAAAACCACAGAACTTCAATCAATTCATCTTCGAAATAATCAACAAAAACAAACATTGGGGAAAGGAAACTCTATTTAGCAAATGGTGATGGGAAAATTGACTAATCACATGGATCACCACATCACCATATGCAAACATTAACTCAATATGGATCAAGGACTTCAAAATATAAGAATCTTAAAAGGAAACCTAGGGAACACCCTCCTGCACATTGGTCAAGGCGATGAACTCATTGTCAAGGCCTCAAAAGCAAATATAACAAAAACTAAAGTTGATAGCTAGAACCTTAATAAGCTAAAATGCTTTTTGCACAGCAAAATGAACCATCAAGAGAGTAAAGAGACAACTCACAAAATGGAAAAAGAAATTATAAATTATACATTTGACAAAGGGCTAACATCCAGGATCTATAAGGAATTCAATGAATTGACAAGAGCAAAACAATTAACCATAAAAAGTGGGAAAAGACATGAAAAATACTTCTCAAAAGAAAACACAAAGCAGACAAAAACATATTTTAAAAAGTTCGGCATCACTTATCATCAGAGAAATGCAAATAAAAACTACAGTTAGATACCATCTTATACCAGTCAGGTTGGCTATAAAAGATTAAAAAAAAAAAAAGACAGACAGAAAGAAAGAAACAAGTGTTGGCAAAACTATGAAGAAAAGGAATGCCCATACTTTGTTGGTAGTAATAATGTAAAGTAATAATGTAAGCTAGTTCAACCTTTGTGGAAAGTGGCTTGGAGATTTATCAAAGAACTAAAATCAGAGTTGCCACTTAACCTCCAATTCCACATCTGGGAAACTACCCAAAGGAACACAAATTGTTCTACCAAAAAGACACCTGCACTCATATGTTTATTGCAGCACTATTCACAATTGCAAAAACAGATAATCAATCCAGATGCCCATCACAGGTGGACTGAATAAAGAAAATGTGGTACATATACACAATGGAAGAACAAAAGTGAATTAACATAGAAACAAAAAACCGAATATCACGTTTTCACTCATATGTGGATTCTAAATATTGTGCACACATGGGCATAAGAATGGGAAAAATTTCCCTCCATAGCACAACTGAAAATCTCAAATGGGAAATAAAGGAGGGAAGAAAGGAAGGAGTATAAAAATACAAAAACATCCATTGGGTACCATGCCCCACTACGAAGGAGGCTGGGGAGACTTGTCAGTAGCACCAAGCTCACTCATCATCAAATAATACACTTATGTAACACACACACACACAGACACACACACACTGTAACACACACACACAGACACACACACACACACACACACACACACACACACACACACACACACACACGATGGCCCTTTGCAAATCAGGAAGCAGGTGCCCTCCAGCCACTGGATAGGCTGGCACTTTGATCTTGAACTGTCAGAAATAAATGTGTCTTGTTTACACCACACAGCCCAATGTAATTTGTTATAGGTGCCTGAGTTAAGATGCTTTCCCAAGGTATAATAATAAGAACTGATTCCAGAGATTTTCAACTGTCCCCTAGGGGGAAAATAGGCCTTAGGTGAGAACCACAGTCCTATGTGTAATGTATGTGTGTTAGGACATACAGGAAAATACTAAGAGAAGTTTGTCCTTGACCTAAATTTCTCCTCTTTGGCCTATAGTTCATTACATCTTTTATATTGGCCTACATTTTATTACATACAGTTCATCTTTTACATTATTTTAAAGTTTATTATTATTTATTTTGGAATGCAATTCCTCTTGTCATTATTTTGATTGTAATTATTGAAACTCCTCAGTTTTCTTTTATCCCATCATTGACATTGCTGTCTGAGCAAAGTTCGAAGAACTTGCCTTAGCACAAAGTTTCATTATGATGTTTCTAGCCTATTTTTTCTATCTTATTACTTGCCATTCTTCATAGGTAACCTAAGCTCCTTACTTACACATCAGACTCCAGTTTCTCCCTCCATCCTTTCCCCTGATCTCTAACCTAGATTGGTAGCCTAAACTCAATCTTTCTAAAGTCACTCTCTCCAGAAAATTTTGAATGCCTTTCTATACATATCTCCATCATACATTATCAACCCAATCACAGTGTGATGGTTAAATTTATAGGTCAACTTGGCTGGGCTGCAGGGCCCAGACATTTGGGCAAACATGATTCTGCATTGGTCTGTTCACTTTTTATTTTTTTGGATGATATTAACAGGTAAATCAGTGGGCTCTAGGTAAAGCAGATTGCCCTCCATAATGCAATATGTCCCACTCAATCAGTAGAAGGAAGGCCTAAATAGAACAAAGTCTGGCCCAAGCAAGAAGAAATTCTGCCAGAAGATAGCCTTAGGACTTAAACTAGAACTCTTTCCTAGGTCTTTAGAGCATTGGCCAACTCTGAAGAGCCAATTTCTTAAAATAACTACCTCTCTCTCTCTGTGTATATGTGTATATATACATGCACAAGCAAACATATATTGGTGTGTGTATATATGCGTACACATACATACATTATAAATGATATATGTAAATATCATATTGATTCTGTGTCTGTGGCGAATCATGACTAAAACTTAATATACAATGTGTAAATCTTTCCCGTGAAGTACAAGCTGTTGTGTGTTACGTGTGTTTGTATTTGTGAGTACATAATTTCATATCACGAGGGCTATAGTAATACTAGCATATCACAGGTAGTTAAAAGTTTAAAAATCACTTTATAATCATTGCTGTAGTTAACCACAGTTACCCTACTTATCTATTGAACACCAGGTCTTATACTTTCTATCTAATTTATATTTATACCCTCTCAACTGTACATTTCAAAATAGATAGAAGTGAATAATAGGGATGTTCTTAGTATAAAGAAAATATAAATATTTAAGGTAACATATAATCAACTATTCTAATTTGCTTATATGAATATTGCCAATACATATGGGTACCTTGAAAATATGTACAAATTTATGCACCAATAATAAATATATAAATAATTGTACCTTCCTTCTTTTAAAATTTGAGATGACAGAAAACATCATTAGTGCCAAATTTTAATTTTTAAAAAAATTTTATCAATATTTAGCTAATATTTTTACATCAAACAAACATCATGTAATATCTTTATTACCCAAAGACAGTGACTGCCTTTGGCAAAAAAAAAAAAAAAAAAAAAAGTCTATATGAGGTCTTTCACAGGGCTACAGTTTTTATACATTTAGATAAATTATAACTACTGTTTGTAGTTGAAAGTATTATTAAAGTATGGCATTTTATGAAACGTTTTTTTCTGGTTGGGCAACTGAACGTATTGACTACAATTTTTCATTCCCTAATTAGAGATTGATTTCTGTTACTGGGTTTATAAATATTATTTTGTATACTCTACCAATCCTGCTTTTCGCACAATGTCTAGCTGTTGTTTTCAGTGTGACACGATACGGTTCCTGTACTTGCAAATGGAGCATAATTGTGGAATATATACATTTGTGTGCAGAAAACTGTTTCTCTGCTTGCATGCTTGCTATGGGCATACTTTGTAATGGTAACAATTGTGCTCATAGAAAATAAAACTGAAAGCCTTTACAAATATTTTACGAATACTAAAGAAAGATTAGTATATTAATTTTTGTTGAAATGAATGGAAACTGAGAACTTCATGGGAAAAAGCAAACACATTTGTTAAGAATTTCAAAATTTCTAGGGTCTTTGGTTTTTCAAAAGTATAAATATAGGGTAAATAAGTATTTTTACAGCCCACTTGATTTTATCATAAATGAGACAAAAATAAAACATTTATTCTTATGCAACAACTCTGTCTCTTCTGCATGACATACTAAAATAAAATATATGATTATGTGTTTGGCACTGTATTATATTCTTCATTCAATCTAATTTAATTCTATCAACATATTTATGTAGCATTATTATTCTTTCTTCATGTGTTAGGTATTTGAGATTCTGCAGGATTGAATGACTGTATAAGATCACTAATATGGTGGGTAGAATAACTGGAATTCTTACACCGGTTTCCGTGTATTTAGAATCCAGTCTTTACATCAGCAATCTATTAACACTACCTCAATAACATTTATTGAGTGACTACCAGGTACAGGACGCTTTACTAGGTGCTTTACAAAGTACATTGCTTCATGCATCTTCACAAAACTCTGAGTGATAAATATTGTTTTTCCTTTTACATATAGCAAATACATATTTTGTCTTTTACATAAAAAGAGTGGAAGATTTCCTAAAACCACACAGTTAATCTTATCAGAGGAACCAAAGTCAGAGATGAATGTTAATCCCAAATCCTCCCTTTTTGGCATGATAGCTATCCTTCCTATCATTAAGAGATCGATAGATTTTATATTTTGTAATTAAATATCACTACAACAGTTTTCTCAGTCAATTATGTTCACATCCAGTAAGTGGAAAAATTAATCTGTGTGGTCAGTACATTTATGAATATATCTAAATATATTATTAATTTACAGAAACACATCTATCATGTTATTCAATTAAAAAAACAGCAAGTATCATAATTTAATTATATTAATACAAAACAACATGGAAATAAACTATATGGTATTTTATAGAGTTAAATTGATGTGAGAGGCAAGAAAAATCTTTATATGTCTAAAATATTGACACATTCCATAGCTTACTAAACTATTAGCACAGAAAACAACATGGAAATAAACTATTTGTGTTATTTTATAGAGTTAAATTGGTGTGAAAGGCAATAAAAATCTTTATATGTCTAAAATATTGATGCATACCATACCTTACTAAACTATTAGCGCTGTCAGGATCTTGTGCCAAAACTGTGCCAACGATGGTTCCAATCTTGGCATTTTCGTAGACTTCCATGTCATAAGAAGGCATGGAAAATTGTGGTGGTTCATCTACATCCCCAACAATGATCTTCAGCATGGTAGCATCTTTAAAAGGACCCAAGTGAGAAAAGCGAAAGTCAAGATGTGTATTGGCTCCTTCTATGTTGAGGGTATATGACTTCTTTTTCTCATAGTTCAGTGGCTGTGGGGAAAAAATAAGATTTCCTATATTATGACTTCCATTACTTTCCAAATAAGGATTATATATATATTTCTATTTCTGCCAAAACATAAGTTGGCTAGAAATAAGTAATTCCAGCTTTATTTTAAAACACAGTTTGAAGTTTATCATGACAATAACATCTAAAACAGAAATCGTGGAAACTTGGGACTGAATTAATAGTGATTTTACAGAGTCTAAAATATAGTATAACTAGGTACAAAAGGATATTCATTGTAGGTGAAAAAATAGTGCTTTTTGGAGACTTTCATTATTAGTCTCCTCTAGTATCATCTTTCTGTCTCTTCTTCAACCTACCTTATTAATCTTAAAAGTATCTGTTATGAATTTCTTAAAATTTTCAGAATAAAGTAGAACATTTTTACATTTCAGCAATTTATCTAAAATCATTGATTTTTTAAAAATATGCTGTCAACTTATTTTCACCTTGCTGATTTTAAGGCTTTTTTAAAAAATCTGACAAAGGTTTAGGTTTTCAAGTAAACAATATTTTCTTGGAACTTCAGCAAAATGTTTTATACAGAACACTGAAGTTCATTTCTATTGTTTTGATTACATTTATTCAATTATTCATTTTGCTGGCAACACATTTCATTTATTTTGTTATATTTTGATGTTGGGATCAACTTTGCTTTTTTAATTATAGTTTTCTTTCTATTTGTTCGTTCATGCAAATTTTTAACTTTAAGCCTATATTAATAGTTTCATATCATCTTTTTAGTTTTACTCTTATTTTTAGTTATTTACCTTCTGTTAATAATACATATCAGGCATTATGAATTTGACTTAACACATAATAATGAACCTGTGTTTTGACCCAAAGAATATATGGTCTATTGTAGGGCATCAAATAGTAAAAAGGTACTTTATGGTCCTTTGCGTTTAGTGCAAAAAGATATATTAGGTATTATAGACATGAATAAAAAATGATACAAACTTAAATTTAGGGTGTATGAAAACAACTGGGAAATGTTTTCAAGAGGAAATGTCTTTTGGATAAGAACTGAATATTTTGAAAGTACTCAACATAATGCACACAACAGGGTCTGTGATGAAAATAAATTCATATTTAGTTTTAAAAGTTAAAAGTTCCCATAGTGAAGTTAGTGCAGGTGATCCAGAGACCAGTCTTTCATTTTGAACTGGTTGAGGTAGCCACGGATGCTGGACTTGCTATAAAGATCTGTGAGAAATGCATAAAAGAAAATACTACAATATTTTAACAGTTTTTATAAAATTATATATATATTTCTAAATATTACAAATTTATATTTTCAAAAGTTGACCATGTATACAATACACAGGCATTTATATATATTTACACAAATATTATAAACTTTAGATTTACATATATCTTTAAGAACGTTAATTGATTTTGAAATTTATGATCTACCATTGGGAGCCATTTTCTTCTGAAGGAAATTAGACTAGAAATAAATTGCTAAAATAGCTAACACCTATCCTGTTTAAGATATTGTATATTCCTAGTTGGGTCTACAGATTAAACTTTGTTTTTCCTTGACTCTTTCATCCTTTCAATTAATTCATGGCAATACATATTTGATTAATCTACCAATAAGCTTTACCTAAATTTAGATAACTTGTTTTATAAATGGTACATACTTGCTTCCTATCAGGAATTGCGTGGGTGGAAATGGACCCTTCTGAATTTCAGGAGCCAGTCAGAATCCAGTAAGCTGAAACCCTGGTAAGTATACCTTTTTTTGTTTTTAAGATTGATGTCTATATTATTTGGAGTCAATGTCATGCATGTGGTAGGCTTTTGATGCTTAAGATTTTTAGAACTAAAAATTAGAATTTACTTACTTTATTAATGATTTTTAGCATCCTTTTTTTTTTTTACAATAACACTAGATTAAAGGTCATCTCCACTTATTTATTATTGTAGGCTATTATATCTTTCAGACTTTCAAAGAAATCTGTGAGGGATTTTGGAGAAATCCAGTGCTATCTGATATTACTATTAAACTGTGCATTCATGATGACAATTATCTCTCCCATTTTTTTTTTAGCATGTCCCCTAGCAAGTTAGATGTCATTTGTCTTAACATTAACCTACCTACTGCTAAGGTGCAGGGTGTTTATGTGGACATATGGTTTCATGTTGATGATAATCTAATATATATTTAACTACCCAGGTCAGGGATAATCATTTTTAGGAATTATTTGCCAGAAGTGACAGATGGATGGATGGGAACCCATGCGGAGTCATGAAGAAATGAGGGTATTATTTTAGGTTGGGACAGGAATTCAGAATCAGTTGAATTGTTGCAATTGGAAATATTTTAATTACCTCATTTATGAAAAGAAGTTGGTGAGACTGAATTGCAAGTACAGAATAACTGGGAAGAAATTAGATTTGTCTATTTCTGAATATTTTAGGATTATATATTCAAATATAAATTTTACACTGGTTTTATTACAACCACAATAATATTTAAGTTAAATTATTATTGTTCTATTACTAACTCTAATAAAGCTGTTCAAGTATTCATCTTTTAAACGGGTCTTCCAGAATGTCCCAGTAGTCTTTTGCTTCTGAGAAACTACTTCTGTGGGGTTTCACTTTCCTTGGATACCAATAGATCTCTTTCTTTTTTTTTTTTTTTTTTTAACTTAGAAGTAGCTTATCAAAAACAGTATACCAGAAACAGTAAGGTATACTTATCCAATCCATAATTTTGATAAGGAAGTGAAAGAAAAAAAAAAACCTAAAAAAGAAACAAAATTATTCAGGCAATTGAGATATCACACAAAGTGATAACATGAAGTATATGATTCACAGTTTATAAAACACAAAACATAAATTGCCTGCCCTAAAATATAACAAAACAAAAAAAGTAATTTCATAAACATGAAGGATAGTCTAAACCTGATACGGGCAGTTGTAGAGCCAATGATTGTTCATGAGAATAAAACAGAGGTTTTTTGTTTGTTTGTTTTTCTTCTCATTCTTTTTTTTTTTTTCATTTGGAGTCTCACTCTGTCGCCCAGACTGGAGTGCAGTGGCGGGGAGCGGCCACTGCAGCCTCGACCCGCCGGG